CTGGCCAATCAGAGCACACCTCGCTTTTCAGACCGATGAGCTTTATAAAAATCGACGCATTTCAGAAAGGCGGGGCATAGAGGAGAAAAAATAATGTACAGTATGTGGAAAATAATGTGTTTTTTTTAACCTTAAACTGCATAAACACATTTCATTACACCAAATAATGTTATTTTTTAGCAACGTCATATGACCCCTTTAATCATGACATTTCTGGGAAAACTTCTTTAGAATATTAAATTTCTATGAATTCTCCTGAAGTTCTTCAGTATGTGTGCATGTGTTTGTGGACTTACGCTGGCCCCACTGTCCACTGTTAGGGTTCAGATAATTCGGGTACAACCCTTGAGGTTTGTCCAGTCGATTCAGCACCTTTCTGATGTTCATTACCTGCAACGGCAGAGAACGCATCTCTTATATAATCATGTCAAATTATTAAGCCATAGCTAAGCTCATCCAATACAGTACGCCATGGAAAATGCAGTAAACAGCCTTTTTGATGCGACCGATGTCTTCCTACAGGGGACAGGACTCATAAATCTACAGACTAGGTCACTTTCACAGTTTGTACAGCCTCATTCAGAGCTTGTAATAGTGTCATTTGTCTGTGTCTATATTGCAGGTCAGTTCAGCGGATTAATTCGGAGAGAATCAGATCTGAGAATTGCAGCGAAACGAGCATCAATATAACGGTTACGAGCAGAGGTCATCCTGGGTCACTGTTGGTCAGCTCTTCGAACAGTTCATGACCGCCGCTCCTCCAAGTTCACTTTTAGTTCAGTGTGGTGTTTAATGCACTGCAGAGGCGTAACGCCTGAACAGCTGCTCACCTTCTCGGCAAAAACTGGTCTCCCGGAAAGCTCGCTGAGATGCATGAACTCCAAATGCAGCGTCCCGTATTCGGCGAGAATACTGCTTCCTCCTGATGCCCATGGCCAGTTTCTGCCAATCCCACTGCATGGGGAAGAGGAAAGAAGAGAGAGATTGAGTTTACTTCAGTAACTCAGCAATCATGAGCTGTGTGTATATATGCATTTTGTGTTGCTCTGAAAACCTTCAACCAGTCAAAATTGGCCAGTTTGAACCAGCATCTAGTGTATTTTGACTTATTTCAGAATGAAACAGAATATTATTAATATTAATATAATATTAATATTAATATAATATATAGAGAGATGTAAGGCAGGACTTGATTTTAACCATCAGACGTGATTGGATTCAGGGCTTTGATATTACTGGTGAGAATTTCAGTTGATTCATATCTTTCATATACATATTTATATAAATATACACTATAGTTCAAAGGTATAGGGTGTGATTTTTTTTTTTAAGTTTGGAAAGAACACAATAAATTGAAGTAATAAAGATATTTAAAATGTTTAATATTTAAATATTCCTATTTCAAATAAATGCTCTTCTTTTGAATTTTCAATTTACCCATTTAAAGAATCCTGAAAAAAAAAAGTTGGATATGGAATATGGTTTCTATCACGGTTTCTACAAATATTAAGTAGAATAACTGCTTTCAACACTGATAATCAAAAATGTTTCTCGAGCATATTAGAATGATTTCTGAATGATCATGTGACACTGAAGACTGGAGTAATAATGCTGAAAATTCATCTTTGCACCAAAGGAATAAATTACAATTAACAAAATATTAAAATACAAAACACATTTAAAATGTTAACAAATTTAGCAATACAATAGTAATATTTATCTTATTTAATAATAATATTTAATATCTATCTATCTATAACATACACACTCACATACACACACACACACACACACACACACACACACACACACACACACATATATATATATATATATATAAGGGGTATAAGGGGTCACAAAATTCACGGTTCGGTTCGATACGACACAGTGGTGTCACGGTTCGGTTTGGTACGTTTGGTACGGGGGTATATTGGTTACGTCGCAATGTTGGAAATATTTCTGTTTTAAACCATGAAGGCGACGGATATCACACACAAGCAACGTGCAAACTTTGTGCAAGGGTTATGCCGGTGACCGTCTTAATCTCAATCAATTAACTATGCAGAAAATGAAAGTAAAAACGGAGTGACGGAGTAATGACAGAGCTTTCGGCATCTGACGCCACATATTCTCTCAGAGACGACGAGACTAATCTACTTCAACGTATGCTGATAACGGTATATAGCTAGCTAACTATTTTCATTTATTCCCTTAATATTTCTAATATTACATAGTGAAAAAAATGAGAAGAAACATATTTCGTTTTAAATAGGTTGTTTTTGAAAGTCGGTGCTTGAAATAAAAGCTTTTTATTTCATTGATTTTTACTGATGACTACAGTGTTAATATTTTAATTGTAGGCCTATAATTCATTGTATAATAGACCTGTTTTAAAATACCTTTTTTAAAAACATTTTAATTGTGGAGTAAATAGCCTAATCTTTTGTTATCCTCGCAGCACGTTAGTTATTTGGTAATTATTGCGGGGCAAATTAATTGTAATTTAAATTTAATAATAAAAGTAACTTCATAATCATAATAATAATAATAATAGGCCTAATAAAAATAAGAATGTAACAGGCCTACATTAATTGGAAATGCCAACCGCGGGGCCTTTAGCAGTGCATGCCCAGCGTGCCCGTCCACTAGACAGCACGTTGCTTGTTACGTCGTTTGGGCTGCCTTGTTGAGCGCAGTGGCACAGAGAACATTATATTTCACACACTTTAAGCTAGGGCTGCATGATAAGGGTTAATCTGCTAATTAGTGGTCGACCAATATATCTGTATCTATATCTTGGCATTTTTCAAATATCGGCATTGGCCGATAAGTTTTGCTGTTTGGCCGATGCGTTCGAGGCGGGACTTTTATTTTGATGGCGCGGAGAGCGGCAGCGCCTGAGCACACAGTGCTCACATTGACTAATGAACATTTAATTTCACAAACTTAGTCAAATCCAGCTGTGAGATCTTGTGAAGTGTGCATCTGTATCCTGCATGATTGCGTGTGCTCTGTGTGACGGTCAGTCTGTGTGAATTTAATGCGGTAAGGAGAGTTCAGCTTCACTGGAGATGCGCGATCGACAAACTCGTGATTTTAAATTGTGCTGCGCTTTATGCATTTGCCCACTGCCATATTCATGTTGTTTCCACTGTGTGCTGTATGTAAAATGAGTGTTACCTTGGCTTTATTTGAAAAATATGATTCCCAATGCACACAAACTTCCCAGAATACTGAGTGCCCTGTTGGCTACAGTGTTTACTTCCATTTTAATGATATTTTTATTAAATATTAATTTATTTGTGAAAAATACTTTGTCATCTAAAATGTATGTTTATTTAACACATTTTTAATCCATTTTCAAAGGATTTCAAATTTCTTAAATATTAAAATTATATCGGCTTTATATCGGCCACCCTACTTTCCAATATATCAGCATCGGCTGTCAAAAAACCAATATCGGCCGACCACTACTGATAATCACGATTATTTTGATAAAAATTATAATCACGATTATTAATAAAGATTATTCTATCAAACGGGTAAATGCAATAACATTTCATGTGTCCTTTAACCAACCTCCACTGACTACATATACACCGACTTCATTTAAAGTCCCCCTGTAGTGAAAATCAAGTTTTTTTATGTTGTTTATTTGTCTATGTGGTGTTTTTAATATGCTTTTAGACAAACCACGTGCCAATCTATTAATCAACACCATTGCTGTGTATTTTCTCCTTAAAACTGTAGTTTCCCAAAGGCTGACCCAGAAATATGGTTTGAAACAGCCCTTGGTTTGCTACGTCACAAACCAATAACCAATCACGTCAAGGGATCGATTCCTATCACTAGCATGCAAAATATACCAATACCAGCACAAACCCAAAAATAAATCAGAGCAAAAAACCCATGAAGCTGTGGTTTAATGTGAATTTAGAACCGCTAACTTGCATTATAACCCGTGGCAACAGTGTAAAAGTAGCCCGGAGTCAGACGCACTTCACTTCACTTCACATGCGTATGCTCGCGGGCGCGAATTAACAATCACAAACGGCTGTATTCGAGTCTTCGAGGCATTTTAGGACACAACATCGTCAAGTAAGTAACTTTAACGAATGTTACAGTATTCACTGTAGTTGTCCGCTAGTAAAAACATAGTTTTATCAGTCATTATCCGTGTATGCCATTGTTTTGCGGTTACTACAGTTCAGTGGATCAGGAGGCACTGGCTGGTGTGACTGAGTGGAGGCGGGACTAATTTGCATATTCATAGATCTGCGTATAGTAAACGAGGCAAGGGTGTAGAGTTACATTCAAGCTATTTTAAGGCATGAGAAAATTATTTTCACAAGAAAAAACATCTAAATATGTCATTTTGATTATCAAAGATAAGTTTAAAAAATATAAAATATTTGACAACAGGGGGAATTTAAACAACTATGATAATACAAAACTCATGGTTTTGGTTAGTGTTTTGTAATCTGTATTCACATTAGATTTTCTGACAATTTGTTCGCAAATAAGACAAGCCACTCAGATTGCGAAATAAATTTGCTCAAAAATCATTAATACACACTGATAATAACATTGCAATGCCGTTTTCAACTGATTAACATTATGAAAACTGGTAAAAACTTTAGAAACTCCTAATATAACTTAAAATAATTCCATTTGATGTACATTTTTCCCCATTGTATTGCCACAGGCAGCAAAAGCGCATTTATTCCTCAAACACAGATCCATTATTGAAACTCTGTGAAATTTTGATCATGGTAGATTTGGTTACACAAGCAGCACAAATGGCTTGTGAAAAAACACACATTGGCTGTATGACACTTCTATGTAAGCAGAAATCGCTGTGGAGAGATCGCTAAACTCCAGCACATGTATGTTTTCTTATCATCAGCGCTTGTTCCGCCATCAGTCAGTGCGCACAGGGTTGCCAGATTGCAAATAACTAAAACACCGGGCAGAAAGTGGAGCCTTAAAGGAGAAAAGCTGTTTTGGGGACTTAATCTCTTCACATCTGGCAACTACAAGCACGGACGCTAGTGAAGACTTGTTAGCAATGCAAGATAAAAACACATTTTCAGGATAAATAACGAGCCGGCCAATATCGAACAGTTCAATATGAATACGTGTATCGTTACACCTCAAGAATTAATTACTTTTTGAAGTTCTCAAACATCATTAATAACACATCTAACATGGTTGCCCAGTTGATTTCATGGCCTTATTTTACAGAGCGGCCGTGTTTTCCTCCTGTGATTAGAGCCACTTTTATTGACTTTCACTGGCACGGTTCCAACTAAAAGTTGACAACTTAACTCCGGCCTGGAAATGGATGCCACGTCTCCTGAACAGCTCTTACTACCTCGACAGTAGATCCGCTCAGCGCGGGCCTCTGTGTCTGCACCAATTACAAAGATAAATTACTGCCGAGTAATGACACGTAATCACAGATTTAAAAGAACGACATTCTCCACTTTATTTTTAAAGCCTAATTCTACAAAACAGAGGGTGTAAGACATTTATGTCATTAAGACAGTAAATTACACACAATAGCTCTGGCCAGAAGGAACTGAGTACTGCTAAAGTACTCTAACGGTTTAATTTGGAGGTGTTTTATGTGAATGTTTTTCTATGCGTGATGCAACTGGATGGCAAAGAAGTCCATGCAAGTCTGTATAATTAATGAACAATCGTTTTGACTCCAAGACGATATTTTCTAGCCTCTGGTAGTGAATTCTTAATAATAAAAAATTAGGTAAAGGCCTCATATTTCAGGCCACAGCAGGAAATGCGTGCAAACACCTCTGGAGTGTTGCCACCAATGTCATCATTTTTTACACGGTGCTGATCTGCCTCTGGCACTACAGACCTCTGCGCATTGCATACGCTGCAGGGCTCTACAGCGCAAGTATTTGTGTGTGGAAATTGCTGTGTGCGAATGT